AGGTAAACTGCAATAATGCGTGGGCCCGATTAAAGCGCTCAATAACAGCACAAAGGTCAACAGACTGGTCGGCCACGACATGTAGCGGTGGTAACATTCAAAGTCCGTGATCTCCGCATGTAACTTGGTATTCTCTAATTTCGCCATGAAGACATCAGCTAACAACGGACCCAATGGCGATCCCATAGCTACACCATCCTCTTGTCGATAGTAAGTGTCATTGAATAGGAGCTGTACGTTCCAAGTGCAACGCAAAAGAAGGCTTTTCAAGTCGCGCAACGGTATGCATATACTTGCTTCTGTTTCTTCTATGTAGGAGCAAAGGTAATCGATCGTCTCGAAAGTGGCACGTTTGTGAAAAGCGATACAACATCCAGAAAACATTACTTTCCCACCGATGTTGCGGTCTTTGATGCTTTCGATGAAATGAAAGGTGTCACGAAGGCTGTAGTGTGTAAGTCGCTGTCTTACTGGCTCTAGAATTTCCACAAGCCATTGGGCGACTTCATGGTAGGGTCTTATGAGTTTTCGGTAACCCATAAAGCCTCGGAACATTCGTGCCACTCGGCTTCAGGCTATCATAAACAACATTTGATATATGTCCACTATTCCGAATATCTTGCAGGCTTTTAATAATCTGGTTTTTAGTCCTCTCTGTTTGGCCCTTTTCTCCAATCGTTCGGGAAAATTTCGATTCATCACTCAGAACTTTTTCGAGCGTGTTTATATAGTCTTCTTTGTCTAATAGAACGACTCCAGTACCCATTTCCAGTTTGCTCAGAAGGATCTTATCACTGCATCCTAAATCCTTCAGCGCTTCAAGGTGCTTGCGTGTCAGTGGACCTTGAGTTTGAACATGGCACTTGCGATACTGGTAGCAGGTGTTCACTAGAGAACACTTAAAACGCTCCAGGTCTTCATTTGACTTAGCCACTAGCCCTTTAGTTTAGCCAAACAGGCTTACAAACTGTGACTCATAGTGAAGCTGATTGTGTTTGAGGCGCAAAATTTTGGACCAAGTGATAGAACTTTCATTAAAGTGAAGTTCAATTTCATACTTGAAAAATTGTGCACGTACCTCTCAGGTCTATTAGGGAAAGTAGATTGCGGCTTATGCTGATTCAACATCTTTGTTAGGGCCAAACGCCTTTACCGTACACAGTTTGCAGTGATAAACTGAACGTAATCCAGGAATGTTTGCTTCACGTCCAACGGTAACTCGTCAATTACATTCTGACGTTGCGCCATATTGAGCTCGAATTCGAAAATCCCGGATTGCACCGGGTCACGCTGGTTCAAAGTATGACGTCTAAGTGTTTTGGCATGCGGGTAGATCCGACTGCGGCACGATTGCTTCCAGAATCTGCTAGGATATTCATTGCGTTCAATGCAACCATCGAAGAATTGTACACAAGTTTTAGCTTTGGCAAGCGTATACTGGAAACTACTTGTTAAATTCCCTCCAGAATACACAAGAGAGTCACGATGTTTCTCCATTTCTTTGTAGCTTCGTAATCGAAATGGTCATATTCGACTGTCTATGTATACGCCTTCTGGGTTGTAAGTGTTGCCGGTTGACTTAATTGTGGACACACACACATGGCACATGGCACACATGCCATAAATCTCTGAGTCAGGCCATGCTTCTAAGCGGGTGTTTCCACACCAAGGATCCCCCAGGTGCATCTCGGAATACCGTCCCCTCATTGACTGTTTTACATGAACCTTTATTATGCTCCAGATGCCCTCGATGGGATTGAGAGCTGCAGAGTGTGGCACAAGGCGCAGAAATCTCCCAGAGCGGTATGGTTCCTCCAGGAAAACGTGCTCCAGGTGCGTGTGACATGGAGCGTTGTTACAAATCTAAAGATACCTTTCTACAAATCCTGTTCCGTGGGTATCAAGCACCTGTCGCAGCCACTGAGCGCACCTTTGCTTGTTGTGACTTCCTCTCAGAACAGAACACGCTATCAGTCGTTGTTTGTCATAGCGCCTACAAGATGAACTTTCGGTCCCTGGCTGTTCGCTCGACTACCACCTCGTCAGTGGCCACGAGTACGGGAGCAAAATAAGTTGATGTTGGTCTCATCAATCCACACCTGTTGCCTTCCTTTCACCTCGTAATCCATTAACTGCAAAACGAATGACCTGCGTCCCTTTTTGTTCTCAGCGTGTTCATGGACTCCGGAATGGTGTGCAGTTTCTTCATTGTTATCAGTCTACCATTGAAGTATCGTGCGATGGTGCTGGTACTTACTGAAATTTCCAACTCCGCCTTCAACCGCAAACGAAGGAGTTCAAGGGTAACGGTAGGCTCCGCAGAAACCAACTCCACCAGAGAGTCGACGCGGCTTTCTCCCAGTGATCTGCTACGGACTCCCCCGTGCTGCCCCACCGGTTCCGTCGATTCGAACGCCCGTATCCAGTTGCGGCAACTTTTCACGTTCACCTTCAGTGTGCAAGTGACCTGCTTCCAATCGTCTCCTTCCTTGTACGTTTTCAGTATGACGTTCTTCACCTCCATCGAGTGCCGAACATACAAACCAATCACTGCGTTTAGGTGCACTACACGTCCAAAATCACACGGCAAACTTATTTGGCTTTGGCTCGTTATACTAACCCAATAGTCGTTCAAATCCCTACTCTCGTTCCAATTGGTGGGAATCGCTTCCTTGGACAGAGAAACACTGGCCTACATGGTGCATCGGCCACCCACACAGTACCTGTTATGAGCTGAAACGTCCTACCTGCATCCCTATGACTCAGCGTGTCTGAGTTCCTATTGGCTGAAGGCGCCTGGCTATACACGCACACCTGCGCAAGTGGGCGGCGCACTCAAGGCTCAAAGTAATTGAGTAAATGTAGCCATTCGTCACATCTAGACTCACTCAAACAGCCTACACACGCCCCGAAAAGCAGTGTACGCGCGTTTCATCCTTTCGGGAATCGTCAGCAGTGCACATTTGATCGGATCCTGGTAGGCTTCGAACCCGCAACTCGACTGTTGCCAGTCTGTGGGACGGCAACGACCATCGTAAATAAGTTACTAGATGTGCTGTAGCGCCGCTTACTATCCAATGACTTACACGTTACTGCCGTGCAGAGGACAGGGTAGCCCCCTCACCAAGCGACGAGCTTACCAAACTTAAGCGGCCAATTTGACATAAGCGGTTTGGTCTGCGTACTGATTACCGTTAAGTAGTAGGGACCGTGTACCTTCTGTCTCTAAATATACAAATTTATTTATTTGTGGGTAGAAATTCGTCACATCTGGACTCACTCCTACTACTCAACCCAAATCAGTACGCAGACCAAACTGCTTATAATGTCATAAGTTAATTGGCGGCTTAAGTCTGGTAAGCTCGTCGCTTGGTGGGGGGGGGGCTACCATGTCCTCTGAACGGCAGTATCGTATAAATCAGTGGATAGTGGGCGGCACTATACCACATTTAGTAACTTATTTACGGTGGTCGTTGCCGTTCTCCGTAGCTCAGTGGTCTCAACCACGGACTATCAACAGTCGAGTTGCGGGTTCGAGCCCTTCCAAGGGTCCGATGGAATGCGCACTGCTGACGATTCCCGAAAGGATGAAACAGTGCTTTTCCGGGCGTGTGACGGCTGTCTGAGTGAGTCTAGATGTTACGGATCTCTACCTAGACCATTCAACTCCCCCTACTACTCGACTGTAATTGAGTAAAGGCTCAACGTGCATGCGCCTCAGCGCAACTCCTTTGCCATTCTGATTAATTCTGTTGCCCAAGGGGAAAACTTGGCCGAGAAATGGTATAGATTGCCCGACTTTATGTGACACGTTCCTCATCAGGTGCTTCGCACGGAGATATCACATTGACTGGATGGGCACACCACCAGTTCTCGCCGAACAATGACCGTTCATTGTACCTATCTCGGTCATTGTACGGTCTTTAGTGTCTACAGTGCCGAAGGGTTTACTTGACACATCAGTAAGTCCTGTGTAGATTGTTACAATTAGGTTCCTTCAGAAAGACAGCTGGATATAGTTTTAGGGGTTAAGAGTGACGTTTGTCCGCGACGATACGACCTTCGTTACCTTATTGATCAAAAATACGGTAAGCACATTTTGAAGACATCAGTGAATACTCATCTTTAAAAGCTGGTATCTACGGATCATCCATTTCTAGTGGGAGTACCGATTATGTAATGCCGAAATCCGATGGTTGATCTTGGGTGGCTGGGGGGGGGGGAGAAAGCCATCTGTTGAACTTCGAACGTTCACCTTTGCTTTGGCCAGGTTCTTTTAATGTCTGTAGATCGGGTACTTCGGTTTGTTTACTAATGAGTAGACGGATTTGGGTATGGTTCTATTTGGTTCATCGCAAATATGCTATAAGCCGCATATATATATGTGTTGTCCGCCTTTGCTTCACCTGCTTATGTGTGAACTCGTTGCATGAACATTCCATGATGTGGTAAAATGAAGAAACAAATGCGTTGACCGATCGGCTCGGTTGGAATGATGCGTATTGTTTCCTGTATGGTACGGCAGGATAATTCACATAACTTGTTCAACGTGTTGTCCAACCTGGACTATCGCGAAGCCAGTGGCCCACTTGCCAGTATTTGTTTATTTCAACTATTACTCTTTCCATCCAATCTATCCCCTTTGGATCTTTGTTCCCAAATTTCTTGCGATTTCTGTCGCTCGTTATTTTTCCCCTTATTTTCATGGAATGCGAGTGGTTGCGAGTGCATCCGCTGCACTTCGGGGATGAGTTCAGGATTAAGCTAGCTGAATCCTTATTGTTACACATCTTACTTATTTATGCCGTGTCGTTTATGCGGCTCACTGACTTACTCGAAGGTTCATTTTATTCGCTGCCTGAATTTATTCCTAGAAGTACTGTGACCGGTCCATTTGTCAGCCTCTCGGAACCCATTAGTTATCGTCTGGCCTTTGGCATATTACGTGACGTCATCGTTTTTACCCCAACCCCTGCTTTTTATCCGGACTCTCGTTTCAGCCGATGGCTACCCACCAGCCTCCTGGGACTACATCGGATGACCTGAGTTGTTTGGACGTTGTTCGATTTGCAACAGCTCGCGCCGCCGAGTTGGCTGCATTTGAGTCTAGCGTCAATGTGATTACCCTACGCGCCGTAACAGGTCTCCAGCGACTGCCAGTTCGCTTGAGACGGCGTGCAGCTAGTCATAGGATCAACCGGTTGCCACGCAGACTTCACCGGCACCATCACTCGAATCAAACTGCAGGACAAAGCAGCGAAAAATTACCTACCCAAGTGAGATCCTGCGTTTTTGTCTATTGTGCACTTAGTTTGTCTCTTGATTCTACTACTCTGACTTCGATTGTTGCACTTGACACTTTGGGGTATTTGATGTGTGTACTTGCTCTCAACTATCTGATTTCATTGAACCTGTACTTGTTGACTAAGACCTTTAAAACGCGTTGACATTGTTTCTCAACGAACCTGTTCGTTGCTATCTCTCTAGCATGTCAATCCCCAGATTATAATAATGCGAATATTTTTCGATTTTGCGAGAGGCTGTCTCTGAATTAGAGACAGATTATTAATACAGTGATGATCATGCACATGCCTGCGTACGATATGTATTCTGGAGCGTGTGTTATCAAATCACTCTGAAACACATAACTACTGTTGTTGCTGAATTCTGTGTAGCATCTTTTCGCACTGATTATGTATTTCCTGGTCCATTCTGGAAGAACTCGTGTAGTGATTTACCCGAATTCTGGTCCAGGAAATTTCTAAGCTGAATGCGAAATGTTCTTGCATTCGTACATGACCTAATGGTGGCTGGTAGGCCATTCCACATGACAACTTATCTCACGAGGAAGTAGTTTGACATACTAGCTGTTCAAGTTCTTGGCATAATTAGCTTGCAAGTCTTGTTACGAAGTTTCCGAGCACTTATATTTCAATTCCAATATGCACAGATTGGAATGAGCTATTGTTTTATGAGATTGTGTATGAACATGCGGTTATGTTTCAGTCGTCGCAACCAAACAGGCTTGAGGTTAGACTGCTGACAACGCTCCTGATAGCTCAAGGTGGATGATTTCTTGAATAAACCCTTAGTGAATGATCTTTGCAGTTTTCTGGAGTTTCCTTGTCACCCATACGCATGTTCCCATAAATGATGCGTCGGTGTTCAAGGACAAGAATTGTATTTTGAAAATCTCTATTTTGGCAGGGACTATGGATTTTATGGCATATGTTAACCATGGATCGTTTGGCACGTGCCATTTGATACTCAGCCTGCTCTGATAAATTAAAGTTTGAAGAGTATCATATGCCTAGATCATAGTTAGACAGTTGCACACAGATGCATGGGATGGGCGATGCGCTTGCATTACCTTTTCAGTTCATCTCCATTAATTCGTACTACATGTACTCTTAATGTGAACGCTACATGTTGGCGAAAACTCATACCTCGTTAAGTTGGGTCACTCTTCACCTTGTCTCTCTGTTTTCCGTCCCTTTTTCATCGAATCTCAATGTTCCTGCAACTTTATTCTGCTCTGCCCATTTCACTTTGACCATACTCTTTCCATTGTTTGCTCCTCAAATCACGTGTAGCTACGATCTACTGCGTCATTTGTTGGTATCCCGCTTATGGTTCGACGGCAACTTGGTTCCCTACGAAGAATCTGCCTTTTTAAGTCGTTTGCTGGGCTTTTTGAGCAGTTGGTTGTGGGTGATTGTTGTGCTAATTAAGGCCCATCTACCGCGATTGTGATATCGATTGTAACAAGATGGCGTTAGGTTCACTGTTTGTTGGTTGCTTCAGTTCCTCCAGTTGTGCCGGAATCCACTAGATTCATTCCCTTCTTCGGCCACTCTTTTGAACAGTATATTTGAGCGACTGTACTCGCCGGTGTCGGATAGTCCATACTTTTAGTTCTTATTTCACAAGACACTTATCCAAGCAAATGTATTTGCTGGAGATCTCGCCTGATCCCAGGCCGCGTACGATCATCGGCACTTTACAGCCATACGGCGATAACATACGAATAAGAATTAAAACGACTTGATTGGGCATGATGCACTAAGCAGGCGCCCAGGATCAGAATGCCCATGCCTTACCGATCATGCAGGATCGCGTTGAACCGGCCATCCTGTGGTCCGTCACTTGGAACTTGGTGTCTGTCGGTGTCCCGACTGCCGGGCTGAGGTCCGAAGGACGATGAACGTTTGATTTGACTCACCAGTTGCCTTGGCAAGGAGCCGATCTCACTGGGGTTTGTGCTGTGAGCCACTTTGTCCCTCCCCTCCTCTTTAGCTTCTTCCTCCAACAACGATCTCAGCCCAATGCATAATATGATTTAGCATTACGTTACCATTTTAACTTTTGTGGTGTGTAATGTTTAATCTCTTATCTTTTTTGTATTGCGATACAATAGCTGAGGTGTGTTTCTCACCTTCGGTTAACTTGTATTTATGATGGATGATAATGGTGAAAGGGCTGTGTCAGCTCCCTGCAACATCTACTGGCCCACCTGGCAATCATTTGTTTCCCACTGTGCGCGTTTTAAACAAGTGCGTCGCTTTCCATTTGCTTGCCTTATCCAGTAACGTTTCGAACCGGACATATGTTGAATCGCGTGAACGGCAGATCGGAAGGCGAAATAACCCAACGGCATCCAGTCTAGTGGTCAACCACTATATTGCCGGACTTGGACGCAATTCTACGTTCCTCGAACAAAACAGATTCCTCGACTAAAACCACTTGATGGACGTAAATGACGCGTATCCAAGCCATCGTTACTTTCCCCGTGTAATTTGTTTATCAAACCCTTTAACCCGGTTATCGCTTCTTAGCATCCACTTGTCCACCTCATTGCTGCGACCACGCTGATGCCATCTAGCATTAGGGATAGCATTTGATCAGAGGGCAGTTAAACACTTCAGATCGATTTGTAGTACCTTACCTCGCTAAAAGTATCTCAGAGGTTATGCCGTTTGCTACTATATGAATCATCGGACTGTCTACAGAACTTGCTCGTTAGACCTCGGGGGCTTGCACGTGACCAGTGGTTGTGTAAGTTCATTCGATTCCATAGAGGCAAAAAGCGAACACCAACGAATTAGATCACTTTTGTTTGCTTACCAGGGTAGGATGTCGTACTGTAGGCATAGACATCTGCACAATCCATGTCGGCCACTCCTCTACTGGGTGATACTTCAATGCCTGCCTCTTAAGGCTACATCAAGCAGATATCATACTGAAGTGTAAGTTGAATACGGAATAGGTCATTGTGTTCAGGTAGTACTTAATGTTGTCGGCTGTTACCGCCCCACATGCAACTGACTTTTAAGTACAAAGTCGCGAGTTTTGATTCCACATATGGCAGATGAGATACATACACATGGCACTTCTTCAAGGCTTAAATCGACCGTCCAGCGCTCTCATGGACGTGTGACGACCGTCTGACTGAGGCTATCTGCGACGAATTCAGCTTACGACGGCTAGATTTCCTACAGCTCTGTTATAATCTTATCGTTCATCTGAAACTGCGGCTCATCGTTTTTGTCCCTGACTTGTCCCCATTGGGGCCTAATCTCAATGATCTGTAGCTGAATCACACTGCAGTCAGATTCTCATCGTTGCTCACTCCAAGTCTGTGTCGTTTCTCCGCGAATTCCTGGCCAAATCTAATCTTACTGGTTTTTTGCGGTAGTTTATGACATCCATAAAGGATTTTGTTTTTCCTCTTCATTCTATCACGCGCTTTGCAACTTTAAACTACAGGGCATCGTTGCGGAGCTAAGCTGCTGACATGACACCGGTTCTAAATATCACCGAACGGCTACTGGAATTGGTCGATCGCTTCCATTACTTCGGTGGTAATCAGTTCACTGGGGTGGTTATCTAACGTAACAGCAAAACCCGCCTTTCAGAAACTCATCTACAGAGATAGTGGGAACAACGCAACGATAAGGCCTGTGTTACTGTATGGGTCAAGGATCTGGCCAGTTCGCGATGAAGACATGAAACGCTTGTCTGTGTCTGATCACCGTTACTTGCGGCGTATTGCTTGCATCTGGTGGGAACACCGGGTGAGCAATGCTGAGGTCATCTAGTTGGTGTCTAGCAAAAAACACTTACCCGCTTACGTTTGCAAGGTAACGTCTTCCAAATACTTGTTAATATTACTCGGCGTGAATTATACTCGGTCGCTACACCAAATTGGGCGAAATCGCGAGGTGGCATAAGCGTATGAAGAAATTGACTGAAAAGATTGGTTACACTGGTACATACCGTCTTGATGGACTGGGGCCTCGGGGTGGGCCGCATCAGTGGTTAGTTATTCTACCATACACGCATTTGGTTTTTTTGCATCTACCTGTTAATATTTCCATTCCCATTAACTGTGCCTGTATCTTTATTAACTCTCTTTTTGAGTTCTGTTTACATTCTACCTGATTTTCTCAACATTCTCTTGGGGACCCGAATCATGATACACAGGTCCACTGCACTTCGGTGCCCGGATCGTTGTTGTTTAACTTAACTGAACTTGACACAGTTGCCCTCCAGATAACCCTAGCTGCAAATTTGTACAGGTCACACGCTTTTTCTTTTTCGGTCTTCATTCGAATGCTTCCAGTATCTCTGTAATTTGAACAACTTTTGTTTATCATGTGGTTCTCTAGTCAACCACCATCTTTCTCCCGTTTCATTTTTCGTTTCACAGCATGCTAAACTCAAACAGTCAAAGGCAAAACGAGTCGTTCTGAAAAGCCGCAGATTTCGTCGGAGGCACCTACGCCTATTAGACTTCGCCACTCGACTAGCGGCATCTGCATCTTCAGACGTCGCTTCTTCTGATGGGACGTGCAAATCACTGTGGTTGCCGACTCATTTGTGGCATGCGAAACGCTTCCATATGATAGATATCTGGGGCTGGCGCTTGCCACACAAACCCAACGACAAAATTTTTAAGGCGTGTCAGAATGCTGCCTTGAGGTAACCGGTATCACGCGTCATTGCCAACATTGCTTTAGCACTTATTTTCAGGTCATAATGCACCATTTGAGTACAACAAATTGATTGCCGGACCTCTTCCCACACTACTTTGAACTGCTGCTGTCTAGTGAACTATATCTATCCTAGTTATCTCACCTCTGATCGCTAACTGATGTGTGTGCTTTGGGTAACACTGAAAACCGCCGTGTGGTCGATTCCTAAAACCCCTCCCAATTTCAGCGACTTCAGATTGACCGCGATCTCACCAAAATTTCAGGCAGGAGTGCCAACTGACTCAATACTGTCGACTCTAATGTGGACACACTACACAGATCCACCTCTCAATTAAGGATCCACATCATATTTTATGATGCATTAGATCTTTGCAAACACCCTGTTTAATCAGCGCCTTCCATCAGCTGAGAGCGGTTTTTCGTCTAGCTGGTGCCTATGTGCAACATCTCAATCCCCTGTGTTTCTGACGTTTCCTCGGGCCAAATTTTGGTTCAAATATCATGCGCCCACGCCGTACAAGGCGATCATTGCCAGAGCATCGGTATTTACACTAGCGCATGGAGTTTGTTCGCACGTAGACAAGCAAATGGCTACATTGTTTAGCGAGTGAGAACTTCAACGAGGTATTCGGACCGATACATCGATTTATCGTGAGAGTAGACTGATCAGTGCGCTTCCGTTCGCTTTTAGACGAAAAGGTAGCTCCCTTCCCTTACCCTGAAAATTTTTTACTATTCCAACTCTTGCAGTACGGTTCTGGTTTACGTTTGGATTTAGGGCCTCTGCATCTCGAATTCTCGCACTCCCACTGTCAACTACTGCAGCTTTACGCACTCTGTGTGTGTCCTTTGTATTTGCTATCGTCTCACTCATGGCTCGCTGTTCGTTTGTTTGAAATTACTTAAATTTTCAATTCAGTGGTTGTACATACACCCTCGTTGAAGACTTGTTCGATGACGAATCGTCGCCATTGCTTACCGTTTCACTTTGCATGTAATTGATCCCGCTTCCGTTTTCGATCCATCATGCACCGACTAGGAGCTTTGTCAAACTCTGGACAGTATCCTGCCATCCATGTAGTGTCTTGCACTTTGCTGTCTCGGTATTCACTACCTGCCTTCGCGAACAATGTTTTTTAGTTCCCTCAGCCATTCAACCCTGTCGCCCACCAATACCCTTGATCCCCCGCTACTCTAGATTACCAAGTCGACTGATTCAGATCCGTCTGACCCCGGGACGCTTTCGGAATATTGACAAATTTCACCTAATAACTGTTACTCACATTATTCCTATATAGCCGGTGCCATGCTCTGTCGGATTATCATGTTATAGATTGCTTGATGATCCGAGTACTGGAGCTGTTGTCCGCAGAGACAACAAATCGTAACATACCACACCTTACCTGCTTAATTGTGTCAGCCGACGGCATCTGCCGTAGCCCAAACGCCCCTCACCATGCCGAGTTAGTGAACTCTACTGGCTAGTCTCGAAAACAGGCTTGATATTAAACTCACGTACTTTCTTCTGAATGTTATCTCCTACTGAACGAATATGGAGGCTGTTCTCTGCCCCATACAGGTAACAGTCGTTCTCGAAATTGTTGTGCTTTTTCTGTCAACGAATCCAGTCATCTTTACTTACATTTTCATAATCCCCATTAAGGGCATTTTTGTAAGTTAATCTTTTGAAGAGTCTGCCACTTTCTCTCATTGGGCGCATTGCACGCTATTCGGGTTGGTCCTACATCTGGCTAAGTTGTCTGTAATGCAGTACAGCGCATATTTCTTTACAATGCCATTTACAAGTTTCCGTGGGATGATCCCAATCGAACTTTATTCACATATAGCAACAGTTGTAATAAGTGATGAATTTCATATCCGACGGCAGAGGCGACGACCTTGTGTACAATGCAGACGAATACGCAGTGTGTCAGCGTCATCTCATGATTACGCTTTTAGATAATGTAGTTCCGCTTAACAATTTACTCTAGAATTTACTGGTCTTCATCAAGTTCGTCGATAATGACATCTACCTGGCAGATCCTCTCGCGGTATTCTGAAGCATTCGGAGAAAGATCAGGTGTACCGCAGGAGTAAATGATTATTTCCCTATGGTCGCGATGTACAGCTGCAGAACCGTGTGAAATACTTTAAGGAGGAACTTAGCGAGAATAAAAAATACAGGTATGTTTAATCGGGGTCACTTTGTTGCACACACATATGTGTGTGTATTATAAGATTATTAAACATGACCAATAAACATTTGACAGGGTGCCACAACAGATGGGTAACAACAAAACAAAAAGAAGAAGCAATCAATGGAAGGAATACGAAGTGTCATGTGTTGTATGGGAAGAAAGCTTCCAGACTGCCCAGGCCGAGGAAGAGGGTTGACTTAAGGTGCTCCATCCCGAACCTTTGGTCTTAAAATCCCGATCCACAAGGCAGCAGGGCGATTCACGCATGTATCTAGAGCATCCAAATAGCTGCTGAATACGAAGACCGTTAACAGCCCGATGGCTCATTCGCTTCCTTAGTGTTCCGTAGCAGTCCACACAGAAGGCGGTGACCAACAAGGTTGTTCATCCGCCCTCCGTTAGAAACAGCTCCTATTACAGAAGTGAGTGGTTAGTGACCCTATAGTCGATCACATTGGCGCCATACGAGCTCTTGTGGTATCTCATGGAGAACCAGAGGATCAGCCCAGAACTCCCCACGCTCTGAGACGCTGCCGCTGATTGTTCCAGACTGCTTATTCATCACACTTGCCAAGCAAACGGGACTTAGTTACGATCCAATGGCCATTATCGCAAACTGAGTACGAACACACACAAGTCGCGGTCAACCCACAAAAGACACACAGCTCGGCTCACAGATGGGATGCAGATTCGGCTTCCAATCGATCGGCCTAACCCCAACATAGCAGAAGACAATACCTCGGAACGCGGTCTATTCTGATGATATATTGTGCATTCATCAATGGAACTCATGGTCATTAATACGTCCACTGACGACCTTGGCCAATCACAGCCCTGGTCTGAGGAGGGAACGGATGTGTAGATGCCGCTTAAAAACAATATTACGGCTGATAATAAATTTACATTTTGTTGGTTCCAGTTTACTTTTTGGGAAAGCTAGCGTTTTCCTGACAGACTTATTCGCAGTCACCTCCACAAGGAAGGCATCCCCTAATCCGTAACCTGGGGACGCGCCCGATAACTTAGAGCTCCGCAACGGGACGTGTGTGTTTTCGAATGTGTTGCTGATCGCGCTTCGGTTTGATGTGAGCTTCGGTCAATTGGGTCACTGAGGCCGCAGCTGAAACAGATAAATATCCGGGGTTCCCCGCCCGAAAACACTACTGCACTCCCGCCCTGCTTCCGTACTCGTTTGTGCTCATCAAATGGCGACAGCAGCGCTGCGACAGACTCGAGACCTTTGGAATGTCAGCCGAAGCCTGTGTTCCTCTGTCACCGATTCGCGACAGGTGGCGCTTGTCATGACGATGAATGACTATTTGAAAGATTAAGTATATTGCTCTACTTACGTGTGTAGAGTTATGTGGGGCACGTAGAAATGGTTTTCTATTCATATGCTAGTTGGTAATAGTATCTATATTACACAGGATCCGAGCAACTGTGCCTCTGGAGGCACAGATCACTATGTACAGGAGTGACCATTCTCCTGCATGGGCGATGCACAAAGGCGTAACGGGGGTGGCAGTCCGCCCGGATGGCACATAACAGTGGGCGGCATTTTCAGTATGATTAATTTTTAGGTACCAAATATGATGGACAATATTTCCAGATAAGCTGTGGGTTGAATATTTTAATGATACTTTGTTTGACCAACAACCTCTTCGCGCCATTTTCACATCTGTGCAAATGTTCTTCCAAGCGTTCCCCTTTTCGGTTTCTGGTCACTTGTACCAGATTAGTCTGTCCCGAACGATTGTTCAATTCATCGAAAACCTATGTGCACCTTACCCTGACCCGCTCGTGTATCCTTCACGCGCTTATTCTAGCTTCAGTCATGGCATGTGCTAACATGCAGCTGGTGCTGAAATTGTCATTGTGCCCATTTCACCGTAGCTCCACTGTAATTCGATCCGTCATCTGCGCATGATTACAACTCCAGTGGGATCCTCGGTGACGTCGTCTGTTCCAATGTTCTATCCCAGGCATTCTTAATCTATATTCATCCGTGGTCCCCTTTTGAGCCTTTCCATTTCTCATCGCCCTCCACCCTTGATCACCCCAATTTCAGAAATCCACAAAGCATAACACACGTAAATCTGATTTCCAGCGCTCGGATTGGTATCGGTCGTTATGATGGCTAAAGTTATAACGTTGATATTACTGCTGTTTCCCTTATAAACTACCTTCTTTTAGCTTTCACAGCCTCAAGATAACATGCACTGTGCGGCGACCTCAAGCCACTCTTCTGTACTCACACATTATTATTTTGAATTATTATCATTACTTTTACTTGTATTTAATTGTTGTTGGCATTTATCTGTAAGGCATGTCAGGAATTAGGTGGTGTAGTAACTTTGGGACACTATATTTGTCGAGGTATTATTAATGTGAACGTTGAGTTTGATGTCCTTTAACAACCTTGCTAATTTCCGGCTCCAGACTTAACAGCGAGAGTCGAAGATCTCCTCTTACTGTGATGTGCAATTTGTTTCTACTCTTTGTTAGAGAAACCACTCTGCTGAATCCACATTCAATCAAGTGTGTGGATGGAAAAGCGAGAAAATATCAGTTATTTCTCCACAGCTTAGGATATCCGTTAGGGGGATTAGTCTTTATCCAAATAGTTTCTTTTCTATTGTGTGATTTTGGATCTTGCCAGTGTGTCACTTTGAAGCTTTATGAGACTTTCCTGGGTTTTAACTCCAAAATCGCAGGACTGTACAACAAATGGATCCACAATTCAAATCGGAATTTGTATGTCAATCTGTTCATGAAAGCTAGCTTCATT